TATTCTCAAAACTGACTACGTAAAAAATGTACTTGTTAAGTCAATTATTATCATTATCGACTAAAGTAAACGTTATTTAAGCTCGACGTGTTTAGAAATGCTGCTAGCTCTCACTCGAATTCATTAAGATATTCATTAAGTTAATACAAAGGCAGTATAAAAGTGTCTGTGGAAAAGGTTAAATTTATCTCTAGCCACTGACTTTTAGTTCTTGTTACTGTGATATTTTATATTAATTTCATTATTTATCACAATTTACAGTTAGCAACTAGATTTGAAGCAAACGAAACTCATCCGAAGCCGGCGCAGCTGTAATAGATGAGACTCGAGTGCCCTAACATTAATATTGCGATACATCGATCAATTCACTAGAGGAAATAAACAAGTGATTCTAAATAACAAGTTATTTACAAATGATTGCTTTTGTATATACTCTAACAAAGTCATTAACCAAAAATAAAACATTAAGCTAGTTATACAAATCGATTATCGACAGTCGAGATCGATGATCGTTGACGTAATTTTAGAAATGGATATCAACGATAATCGATTACGCTTTACGATTATCAGTAGTAACACATTCAATGAACAAACAACAATATGTAATTAGACTATAGTGAATATTTGACCTAACAGATTTTCATTAATTAGTATAGTATTCTTGAGCTCACTACGTAAAGTACAATTGACATAAAACATTTGAAACGTCAGATTTTTTATAATATTTCATAGGAGATAGGACAAGTCCAAGAGCCGCCAGGCGAGAAAGCTAACACGTGGCGTACGACATGCATATACATATAAATAAACATGGCATCAGCAACATTCCCCACATACGGTACATATATAACATTAAATATTGTGTATTTTCACGTAAGAGTTTATTTATGACAAGTGCGATACAACATCGACCTGGCGAGAGTGAACATCCAACTGACATATAGACATGATAAAACGACATTTATATTAATCTAAGGATTTCTCACATAAATCCATCTTGCTGCCTGATTGCTGTCTCAACTAATAATTATTATTAAACACATACATTTCATGTTTCAATTCCATATATCCCACACATTTTGCTTCTTAATTTGCCATCATGTTTCTGAGTACTTTCACAGTCTGCTAAGCCATAGTCTTTTAACTATAGCGTTTAGACTTTAGACAGTATATTCGTATGGGATATATGGGGAGAGACGTGGGAAGAGCGCACCCGACTCTCGTACAAAATTTTATAGGATAGTCGGGAAACGGCGCGGCGTTAGGGTTGACGGCTATAGGCGTTCGCCATGAAAATTTGTATATTTTTGCCAACGTTGCATTCACTTATATGTTTTGTATTGTGTCTTCCCACATACACGTCAATATTCACATAATATATGTGTCTATATATTATTAGGTGAGGAACACATTTATAAACAAACACATTAACAGACATAAACAAATTAAAAATAATAACATCATTTTCAATTATAATTGTGACATTAAAAAATATAATTGCACATGTAATTATTAAATTAAATACAATAATAAAACATATTCATTGCAAGTTTCATTTATTGACTTGTAGTCAATAAAAATGCAATGAAACGTTTTGAATACAAATAATAAATAAAATAGACAAAAGGCAACTCACTGAGTGTATATGAACACTACACTATACCTCAAGTCTATATTAAAACAACCAATGCAATTATTATATAAAATATTACATATTATATATTCGCCTAAATATGTTAAAATAACGATTTATTTAAAGAATTATGAACAAATCGACATTGGAAAGAATCACTCATTACACTTTCAAAGGGCATTTTCTTGTAAAACACATTAGACGCAAATTGCAAATAAAATGAAATCTAAATTTAACATATATAGACGATAGTAAAATAACATCTTGTACATAATACGTTAGTTAGTTACAACTCATTGACTGAATACAAATCAAAATGGACAGACTGACAGAGAGAGACATATTATTATAGAAAAAAAATTATCCTTGTTCACATTAACATAATCAAGTTCCGCTTAATTATATAACAATATACATAAAAAATAGAAGTCCACGATATGATCAAATCAATTGAATGAAATAATTTTATTCGGTAATTTTCTCCAATAGCGTGTAGAAATACACGTGTCACTGTTTCTTTGCTTCGTTTGAAAGACATTAATGTAGTGTCCCCACCATATCAATAAATGAATAAAATTATTATATATATTTAGATGCTTCAAACTTACATTGAACCGAGAGGTTATTTTACTAATTATATTCATAAAAAAATAAACTGAAGTAATAAAATAAACGAAAAATTTATTATTGTACACTTAGAATGAATGAACGAAGTATTTATAGAGAAGTTTGAAGATTTTTAATCCCTCCACGACCGCGGTCACGCCGGCGTGTCAGTTAACAATAGATTTCTTAGAAATTTAATTATTTCTTAGAAATTTACCTGGAGGTGTTAAGTATGTAATTATAATGCAAATGTTTAAATTGTTTGTGGAGGGAAAAATAATGACTAATTGATATTTACATCGGTTGGAATATTTCCTATTAATAATATTTGTGAAAGGCTTAATCTGTGAAGACATCGAACTCATCAACTTATCTAAAATAATCTGTACAAATATTGATATCAAAATCGAAAAAAAAAACGCCAAGAAAAGACGCCATGTTGGATAATTTACTGAAATGAATGAACTTTTTGAAAAAAAAATTTGGCACTTGTTGGTAAATAAACAGCTCAAAAAAACACAGGACAGACGAGACATTTTGATATAATTTATAATAATTTTTTGGAAACACAAATTGCTTATGGAAGCTCGAATTTTTATATATTTCTATCACAATTATATGTACAAAACTGCATCGCTGGACATGCCAGTTTCAACATAGTGTCTGTTATACCGCTAGTCATTTAATATGTCAATATATAATAATAACATTAAATAACAATTATTATTCCATACATCAATATTATTATCAATAATTATCTTGTTTATCAAAATCGTTTGTAACATTTAAATAAATTTATTACACTAAGTTTAATTTTTGGGTAATTTTGATTTTCATTTTAATACTAATTTCTAAATGTACACTATTTGTTTATCGTATGTCTGTATATTCTGTATGTACAAATTACATTTTCAAGGCGTTTTGGTAGCTGTTTATTGGGTTCAATATATATAAATTGTTAGTTGAATGAAGGATGGTCAGTGGTTAATTGTATGGTTGTTATTAATAATCAAATGTATATTTACAAAAATAAATGGAACAGTGGTAGCTATTTTATTTATTTTGTCATCGAAAAAGTTGTTTTATTAAGTATTTACATTGTAAAAAAAATTCTATAAACACCTTTGATTGAAATGTGTATTGAATTCAAAATCGCTAAAAAATTCAACGTATTAACCAAACTCAATTAATCAATAACCTATAAATTTAAAAAGTCATAAAAATATCGTGTTATATATACGAATTGTACAGAATTTAGTAAATCATCCTTTTTTGAAAACGGTTAAAAATTGAAAATATTGGCTATTTTATAGATACGATACTGAATTATTAAAATCACATAGAAAGAAAGTGTTCAAATTTATATGAACTACCACCTACATTCATCTATAAACTTTTTAGATGTAGTTCGAAAACTGACATTGACATTTAGAATGAAAGTTAATTTACATATTTACACAATTTATTCAACACCTGCTTTTTTTGTGTTTGTGTTTGCATCTTTTCTTTGTGTTTTTGTTTCTTTCTTTTAGAGATAATTATATCTATTTTACTTTACTATAGCGGAATTATTTAATCTAAAGTCTCAATCGTTTCATCATTTATATACTACATCATTTATATATTTAAATTTATTTATTACTTTAAATATTTATTGCAGAATTATATTACGTTCGAATTTATATTATTATTCATATCACTAACATCAAATATACGTCCTGTGCAATTTAAGTTTTTATACTAATTTCTCTCTTATAAAGTTAATTTGCTAAGACATTGATAAAACTCAAGTTTACAGGAAAGTTTTATATGTACAGAAATTTCTAACAGATGGTTGTATAACATTCGGGACAACAAATATTATATTAAATGCTAACTTTTAAACAGACTATGTGAATTGATTTGAAATAATATTTACAAAAGCTATTCAACGTCAACAACGAGAAGTTACCGGTTTCACAACATCAATTTTTACATGAACATTCATTAGTCTAAAACATTTACATATATTCATTTATCAATAAGGTGAGGTATGTATTGGTTTTCGTCAACAGTGACCGATGTTGAAGCAACAAATACCAATACCCGATCGGCATTCTCGTTACAATTTGATATATCACTTATTGTTTCTATGATTCCATCGACTTCTGTACAAACGGATGGCACTGGGCTCTTAATATATAACATTTCACTCATATCATCCTCAGTTTTATATCAATTCACTTTAAGTCGTCAATTGCTGTACCGTTATTGATTGAATCCACCAGTAGTTAATTCGGATTGTCACTGAGCTACTATCACACCGATATATACAAGATATTTACATTCTGTACAATTGGTTAGTCCAGATTGTTAATTCACTGTTGCGAGACACATTTAATATTCACATAGTCTAGTTCCACAATGGATTTGCGCTTTAGCTTGATCAGTAAAACGAGAAAAAGAAATTTAAAAATAAAAACAAATAAAGTAGAATAAGATACCTTTGACCACGCCTTGTTATATTATTGGTGGGGATGTTGGGGGAAATTTTGGAGGATATTTGGCATATTGGGGTATTAGGAGGATTATTTGGGAGTATTTGGGAGATGCTGGTGGGATGTTAGGGGAAGTTGGGAGGGACAATTTAATATTGTCTACCTCTACGTGATCTAAACACGCGCGACGGGTATCTTGTCAGCTTCTGTGTCAGATGCATAACGTATACGCCTCCCGATGACATGACAAGCTTTGTCATCGGAGGCCTGTGAAACTGGTCTCAGACGGTGTCAATGTCGCCGACGTTGATGCGGTCCTCTGACGCCGTCACTGAGAAGCCCAGGATGCGAGCGTCCACTTTCAACATTTTGTTCTTTTTCGATTTCTTGCCTTTCCCCTGTAAATTTAAGTGAGATATGTTTAATTCTTCCATTTTGTTTCTTACTACACTATTGTTATTGTTATTTCGCTATCAGCGGTGTAAATGGCTCTTATAGCGCATAGCTATAGGTGGACACGAGGAGCAGAGTCAGCATTCCCACGTTCGCAGGCATTTGCATCATATTGTTCGATAGAAGTTCATTTTTTACATTAAAATTATTTTTATATTTAAATATAATTTTTACATCTTTTAGCATTAGACATATTCATTATAATTGTAATTTTAAATATAGTTTTAAATAAATAAGTTAAGTTTTTTTGGGACCTCTGGCTGTATTGCTCTTAAATGGCGTATAAATAAAAGCAAATCATTTAACTTCATATTATTACTTATGCAACTAAAACATTCGGCATGTGTAATCATATCATCATTTGGCATCTATAATCTACGAAAATATAAATTAATAAATATAAATCTAATATGTTAGCGTTGCGATGCTAGATTAATAATTATTATTTATTATGTCATGAATTATGTTAAAAATATTATTGCATTTATTTGTGTATTATAGTTATAAAGTTCCAGTTTAAACAATACGAAATCAAATCTTAACTTACTATCACATTTATAAAATAAGTCACAAAATAATATTTTTTGTTGAAACTAACTTTAATACACGAGAACCAAAAACCTTGCAATAATTTTCAATTCGCATGTACAAGTGCTATATTCACTGCTCATATTTTAGTGCTTAAATAAAAATTTGTTACACAATTCTTTCGCCAATGACATGAAAAAATAAATCGGTCCTCATGTTTTATAAATTCCTTTTTAACTATACATACTTTGACGTCAAAATAGCTCTACATAGAATCGCTTCACCTTTAAGGAGTTTTTTAATTATTTATTCATATTAAAATAGCAAAAATATCGCTTATCACACATACAAAAAAAATATTTCAATTAAGTTCACTACCTTCTTTTTCCTGAAGGATGTTAAAAAGTATCTCTGTACTGTATCACTACTTGATAATATGGTTTATAAGAATCCAATTTCGACAAAACTCTTTTTTTTAAAACATCTAAAAGTTCGCAAATAATAATAATCAAAAATTCCAGCAGCATAATAAATAAATAATAAATATGTTGCGACATTAACACAGCACCATCTAGTTCTATGGTAAGCTACGAGACTTGTGTTTTGGATACCAGATAGTTGATATACTACACATATATAACTCTAAATAAATACATATTATAAATATAAATATAAGCACCCATGACTGGGGTACAAACATTCGTGCTCATCACACAAATGAATGTTCCCACCGAAACTTGAACCCGCGACCGTTGGCATAGCAAGTAGGCTGTGTACTACAAACTGAGCCAAACGTGTCATCTAATAATTACTTAATTATATAATCGCCTAGCTATCGTCGCAATAACTGTTTAATAAAAATATTATATGAAAACATACCTCAGACTAAGGAACAATACAAACAGAGTGCCATAGAACTAATAAACTAATAAAACATGAAGGCAAACAATAACGATTTAAAGTAGTATACAAATGACGGTTTGTATACTGAGATATAAGTAAATAAATGTTAATAAATTAAAATAGATTAATAAATTAATATATATAAAGAAAATTTTTTTTACTAATATTATACTTTCTCTCTTTCAATAGGAAGAGAACGAATGCTTTATTATTCATATTTAATTCTCAAAAATTGTATTTCTTTCTTTTAAGAATATGTATGACAAAATCGGGGATAATAGCATACAAAGCAAATCACACCACTATTTTTGACTTTGACATTTGATTTGCCGTACTCCATCTATATTAGTCTGAGAAAAATGCCTAAATATAAAGCAATATAATTTTTCGATTTCGCTTAAAACTTCGCCAAACAATTCGCCTATCCAGATGTAGCAGTAACTAGTATATATATCTGAAAACTTATAATTTTCAGCGTTTACAAAGAGGATTACAGCATGGACAAAAGAATCGTTTCTCCGCATTCGCACCTAATTTCTGGTAGAGTAGGTCATAACCATTCGCTCGGCTATAACAAGTAACCAAAATAAAATAAAATTATAAGCCGAATTTTAGTATATTTAATATCAAACATACATTATTAAGCAGTTTAGTTACGCCAACAATTATATAATAATTTATATTTGAAGCCAAATCAGCAATTATTTACTACAATCATTTTTGGTTAAAAGTATATTTTTTTATAGTTAAAATAAATAACAGCATAATAAAATTCGCACAGCTTAATTGCATATGTATTTATATATTTAGTACTCGTATTGTATATAACTATGTTATATATTACATTATTATATTTGAAATACATAGTATATGGCCGTTTAGTAGTCAATGTTACTGATAAAATTGCAGTTTGCATGTTGTTGTACTCATAATAGCTCTCTTTAGTTTATACATTTTTGGAAACACAAGTTTACTGCTAACTTAAAATACGAGCACTGTACTTAATTGCAATACATAAATCAAATCTATACACAAAAGAAATCAACATTTTCTGGAGCAAAAAATAAATAAAAACTTTACATTCATAATATACACTATTAACTCTTGCAAGGAACAACATTGTAACTTAGTATTAAAAATATATATACAATATACATATTAATTTCCTATAAAATAATAAGATTCCAAATTCAATAAATAATATAAAATTATAAGCAAACTACAATACTTAATTACAACATTTTTCCTTGCAAATATAAGAAAAAAAAACTATTTTCTTGTTTGTCTGTTTGCTCCGACTAATTCGAAACGGCTGGAATATTTTTTACTGAACTTTCGCTAGCAGATAGCTGGTGTTATAAGGAGTAACTTAAGTTACTTTTATTAGAAACAGAAGTAGGGTTCCGCGCAAAAAAATAAAAACCTACGAAATTGTGAACAAATCCGCGTAGCTAGTGAGGCAGTCAAGCGAAACAAGTCTAAAGTAATATAATATATAATATAAAAAATCTATCAACTTGTCGTGGGACACTCGGTAGGAAAGATGTTCCTTTCGCTACCCGCCCTTGACACATACATTATCTCATACACATTGTCACCAGTACCAGGGTAGCATAGACATCCCCAGCAATGTATATTGTACATGTTGAAGCTCATCGAACAAAAGCCTGCACTGAGACCTGCTTAACACATATGCTCACCTGGTACTTGTAATGACGTCATATGGGATGCTCTTAGTGAATGATAAAGCATAGCGCATTTTCGTTACGTGACAATTTCTACCTGTCAACTCCTACCGCAAGCCGCGTTGAGGTACTTCATTCCAATAAATATGAATATTAATTACCTTAATTTCCTGATAGTCGGAGAGTGAGGCTCGAGGGTTGACGGCAATGGCAGGGGAGCAGAGGTCATCAGACGGGGTCACTGTGCCCACGCGGAGTAGCTTTGATCTTGAAACACTCGTATTAGTAAGGACACATGAATAAATATTCCTTTTTACCAATAACTAGAGATAAAACTTCATACAACCGCGCACAACACGTCGGGGCGGTGTGATGAAATCATGTATTTATGTATGTAATTACTGTCCGTTGACAAAACCGGTTTTATCCGGTTCGAGCTGTTGACAATGCCAGGGACGGTATAGTGTATCTATTATTATAGCACGTTTGTATAAATCTTTGTCAACTTTATTACTTTTTTAATAAAAAGATGAACTGACGTCAAAACTACGTTAAAACTAATATTAGTCTAATAGACCTAGAGAAGGTTTTTCCACGTGTAGCCTATACGTAAACCCTGATTTGGTAAAAAATTATGAACAAAGAAATACTAACACAACAAAGTAGAATTTAAAACCGGTCAAGTGCGAGTCGGACTCGCACACGAAGGTTTCCGTATCATCGTACAAGATATATAAAAGTACATACTAATCGATATTTTTTATAATTTGCATAGCGGCCATTTTGAAAATCGCCATCTTGATTTTTTAAATTATTTGTTGTTATAGCGATAATAGAAATACACAACGTGAACAGTTCAACTCTCTACCTATTACATGACAGACACACAGACAAACAGACGGACAGACGAACGGACAGCGGAAGCTTAGTAATAGGGTCCAGTTGGCACCTTTCGGGTTCTTATTCTTCGGTTCCTAATCTTAAAACTAATTGGTTCAAATAAATTAAATATAGCAAAATTATACCTTTTCTCTAAGAATTGTCTTGCGAAATCACCGGAATCCTTGGACTCGCCCAGATAGCATTTGACGTAGTCCTTAACTTCGTACGGCGACTCGATGTCTCTGAGGAAACCGACGAATGTTGGCACTGGAACGGTAATTATGTTTCATAGAAAAAAGAGCATTGAAAAGAGCCTATCCATTTGAAAGTAGGCTTAGACGCCTAATTACCCATTAACTCATAACATATTATAGCGAATTACAGTTTTTTAATGTGCTGTTTTTCCTCACATTACACGAAATTTCAATCGACAAGAAGACGAATGAGAGATGACCTCATTTCCGATTTCCTACCATACATTATACATAATATATATAAAAAAATATATATATAAAATGTTAGTACCATCTATTTTTGTACTCCACGAGGCCAGCACAGTAGTACACCAGCCCTCGAACTCGGCGACAGGCGACGTTTCTTTCTTCGGAGCCAAAGATATTGTTTTCTTTTTCTTCTCCACCTTTGCCTCTTGTGGCTTATCAAGTTTGGAAGCATTGGGCTGTGTATCCCAGAAACCACCTGAAAATATTGATATTCATTATTATGTAAAGTAACAAATACATGGAAAAATCAGTTTTGAGTAAATATGGGCAAGTCACAGAACTACTTTTTATAGATGATTCAAACAGAGCATATCATTTGATCGGAATTCGGAATATAAAAAAAATATTGAATGAACCTACCACTTAGATAACACCATATGTATAGTATTCATAGACAATCTATACATCTATAATATAAAAATGAATCGCTGAATGTGTCAAATCTCGAGAATAGCTGAACCGATTTCGCTAATTCTTTTTTAGAATATTTCTTGAAGTACGAGGATGGTTCTTACGGAGAGAAAAATTTAAAAAAATGCCTGGAAAGTCTAAAACAACATTGGGAGTATAGAAATACTCCCATACAAAAGATTCGTAATAATACTTAAAAGTCAATTTGAACCATACCATAAAGTTTAAGTGTTAGTGGAGAGGTTCCGGAAGGCAAAACAATTGAGTGACGTTAGTATCGTATAAATATTAATGTCAATATTTGTCAATATTATTAACAAAAAAAATTAAAATGTATATGACTAACGCTGGCTAATAACTATTTATATCTATTCATAACACACCTAGCGATGAACACGAGCGAAGCGAGGGTGAGCCGCTAGTTACATAATAAAATTGTAGCTAAGCCGAAACTGTACGTTAAATATTTTCTAGAAAATCTTATTGAAATAGACATCATTATCGATACAGAGGCCGAATCTATAGTTTTTAGAAGTTTTGTCTAACTGTGGTCACAGCATCACGAGAAAACGACTGGACAGATTTTGATGAAATTTGCTATGATGGTAGCTGGTTATCCGGGTCAACATATAGTATACTTTTTACTGCGGGAAAATATCTCATCTCTGAGTAATCTATACTAAACGGTAAAACGTAACTAGGGACGAACCCGAGCGTAGTAAGGGTAAGCGAACCCGAGCGGAGCCAGAGTGAGTCGCTAGTACAGTTATAAGGACTAATATTGTTGTGTAAGAAGATGTTAACGATATCCTGATATAAGCAAAAAATGTAAGTGTTGGGTGTTAATAGTGTCGTACGAACAAACAAGTAGAAGTTTTATATATATAAAGAAAAGAGAGCTCCTTGAACCACATAATGAGAAACCAAAAGTATGAATTGTTGCGACTCATAATGTAAGGTTAAATCCTAAAAAGGGAAGATATCTTGGCTAAAACAAAATCTACTCCAATATTTTAAACCATTTAAGCTTAAGGGCGTGTTCTTATTTTCTTAACGCGAATGAACTATAGTTATAAATAAATAAACAAATGTTTGTGCATACCATTTTGAGCATTGCCCCAGGGCGCGTGTATAGGCTGCGGCAGCGGAGGCTCCTCTATAGGCTGCGTCACTGCCGCTGACAGGCGTCTGGTCTCCGCCTGTTAAACACCATAAAAATAATATAATAATAATACAATTTTAACATTCATTTGTCTTAACGACACGCTTGGCTCAACTTGTAGTGACCGTACATACTGCGCCAGCGGTCGCTGGTTCGAGTCCCGCTGTGGGCATTCATTTGTGTGATGAGCACGAATGTTTGTACTCCAGTCATGGGTGTTTCTATTTTTAATACTTACGTATTTAAAGTTATATATGTGAAGTGTATCAACTATCTATTATCCATAACAGGCCTCGTAGCTTATCGTTGAACTAGAGTGTGTTGTGTGTTAATGTCCCAAAATATTATTATTATATTATTATTATTATCAAAACTTCATTATTATTTTTTAATTTCTATATCGGACTTATCAAATGCATCCAATGTTTAGCATAAAGGTATTCCAATATTCTTCCAACTTTATATACCTTTGTAAGTACGTTAACAATTACTGTTAGATATAGATAAGGAATTTCAAGATTTGATTGTACTTATATTTCGTTATAGAAAGTAATAAAAATAGAGACCTTTTATTTTCATTGAATTAGAATAATTAATATTATGATGAGACTGTCTCGAAAATTGTTGCCTAAATGTGAAGCACTTCAACAATGTCATTTATTTTTTTACATTTTTGATCTTTACGAGTAATTACATCTCTTCAAATCACGTACTCAGCCGCTTTAAGGTCACACTAGTGGGCGTGATCACTAGAGGGATCAGTATTACATATTTTACCTTGATGCTTCAAAAACGCCTAAACATTCTTTATTTCTTAGAAAAATTATAAGATATAACGAATTTTTATATACTCCAATTTGTATGTTATCTTGAGAAATTATTTGTTCCCCATACAAACTTTCAACTTCTTATTTCATCCCCTTCAAGTTTTATTTTCGCGACAAAAAGTAGTATATGTACAGACAGAATTATTTTCGCATTTATGATATTAATAGTAGTATGAATGTATAACTTATGCACCTGTATGGCAGCTATGCTCGGGCCAACGCTGTTGCTAGTGGACTTCTTGGTCTTGGCCCACGCCGGGTTCTGCTGCATCTCCTGTAACATCGAATATACTGACACATATTTTTAAATGTCAAAGTTAATAAAAGAGAAAACAATTTATAAACCTTAAAACCAAAAACGGAATAAATAAAATAGAAAAAATATATACTAAAACAACAAATATCCAACCATTCAAAAGAAAATTTCTCAAACTCGTCAAATAAAGACCATCTCATATACTAAAGAAATCTCTTATAGCTACTTTACTTTACTTTGTTTCTTTTCTCTCTAGTTATACGCAATTAGTCCCGAATCTGACCTGCAAAACCTGTTCCGTAGCCAATGCCTCAGCCTGCTTCTGGGCGATGATCTGCATCATTTGCTGTTGCTCCTTCATCTGTTCCAACTTCTTCTCTTTTTCAAGACGCTGTATCTCAGCTAACGTTAGCCCATCCTTGTTCATCGCACCTAGCTGTGAGGCAGACCATGGCGCTTTCTTTGCTAGAGACTCGGCTATTTGACGTTGTTGCTGGTCCTTTGAGAAAAAGGTATATGTTACCACTCTAATATAATAAATAATTACTTAATCTTTCAAAAGATTTCATAAAATAGCACTTTCTTTAGATTTACACCACACCTGACGTTTTAAATAAAACTATCTTTTCGATTTTTTTCGCGGATTTATATTGATTTTGATTCCAGACGTTTCGAATACTTCATCAATCATGGTCACGGGAGAGACTTAGGTCATTGGTGTTTCAAAAGTTATTATATATTTGAAGCCATTTCTTCTTTAAGTGTTATTTTTTAGGTAAGTGCCGTCTTATATACTATATGAAAACTTATTCTCCCGTGACCATGATTGTTGTAAGGCATTCGAAACGTCGAGAACCAATAATAATCAAAATAAATTCGCTAAAGTCCGAAAAGAAAGTTTTATTTAAGATTTCATTGATATTCAGGACGAGGAAGCTTGTAGTCTGGATAACATGACTAGTTTTTATTGACGTGCCACGTAATTGTAGCCGCGACCAAATAGTAATATACTTAAAATCCTTCAGAATTTTGATCCAATATCATAAAAACTTATGGTGTGATAATTTCTCATTCATTAAGATATAATAAAACTTAATGAACAATTTAGACCTCGAAGACACATAATCCAAAAAATAAAAAGTGAAAATATTTATAGTATCTCTTCTAATAAAACCCAAAATTATTTACGACTAGCATTACCCGCGGCTCCGCCCGCGTTCAGATGACCAAAAACCAAATTCTTAGGTTTTACATATTAGTATACTCTTACATTGTTTTTGTATTTTTTCTCAGAAATGAGATATTTTTCCGCGGTAAAAATATCGTTTAAGTTGACCCAGATAATCAGCTATGACCATATCAAATTTCATCAAAATCCGTCCAGTAGTTTTTCAGTGATGCGGTAACAGACAGACAGACAAAAATTCTAAAATCTATAGATTCGGCCTCTGTATCGTGAATAATGTCTATTTAAATAAGATTTTCCAAAAAATACTTAATGTATAAATTTGACTCAGAATTTTATTATATGTAGATAAATCCGTACAAACAGTGAGACTATTTTTACGTAAAATATAAAATGCAGGATCTCAGATAGATATTTCATGGTCTTGATGATTCTTGCAACCCAAAATATGGATATGTTGTTAAAGATCCGCTAGTTTATAAGACATTCATTCGAAATCCGGTAGAAAAATCATGATTTGAACCCTCATATACACATCACACATATATCACAAAACTCACAACATACACATGACAAATAACAAACGTAAATCTTCGATAAGTAACGTTAACGTAGTTACCAAGGTGTAATACGGTTTCGACAGAATCACGAGATTCCACTATTTAACGATTGTGGTCTGAATGGATTTCTTTATAAAACCTATGAAATGGAGTAAGCCTGTGAATAATATATAAAAAAAATAGTATTACTATATCGATTTAGGTTTTAAAAAACGATGGAATAACGTGGTGGGCTAAAATTTCGATATTTCCTAGAATTAACTTTGCTTACCTTAGATATTAAATATAATTATCACGCGTAGGAAGATTCATAAAAATAGCTTAAATTAAAGGGTATAACATTTTTGGTGATCTTTTTTAAAAATGACAAAACACTTTTTAATGAATGCATTTTAATTGTTCTTCTGCCCAATATTCATTGAGTAATAACTGTAACCTGTATTGTAACAATACCTGTTGTTTCTTAATTGTCTCGGCTATTTTCTTTTTCTTTTCTTCTTCCGCCGCTAGTTTTTCTTCTTCTTTCCTGCAAATATAAAGATAATGAATGTTTGGAACCAAAAAAAATACAGAAGTTACTCATATAATGTTTGTTATTAATATATAACATATAATGATGAAATACCAACTTTTTGCGTTCGGCATCCTCAGCTGCCTTTGCCTCTTCGACTTTCTTTTTATTTTCCTTACTATTATTCTTTTCTGGGCCCTTAACGATTGTAAAGCCTTCCTTAATCCATTCCTACACATACATTTGTGGAAATTAGAAAAATAAAATTATTTCCTATAACTAATATAATGTATTTGCATAAATTCATTAAGTATTATGCGTCCGTCGAGTTTCCTACTAGCATTTAAAAAGCTTAAAATGATTTTGAAGTACTAAACGATATAAAGGAACACTTGCTAAATGATTCAACTTCATACCTTCTTCTCTTTCTCCAGTTCTTTTTTGCTTTGCTTATCTTCCTTTTTATTTTTAGATGGCGAAGAATCCACCGACGCTTTCTAAAATGTAAATATATTTACTAAGTACTGTAAATAATAGTTTAGCCAATATGTTAAATAGAAGTTTAAGTAAATATTTAATTTAATGACTTTTTTTTGTTTTTGTGAATGTATTTATTTGTATTTAAGAAATAAAAAACAATTATTTTTAAAATGAATTCCTAGTTATCTCATCACTTTCGTCTAAGACGTCTAAAAATAAAATAATAACCTAATTTTTACATAGATGAATTGGAAATCTTTAATAATAATCTACTCACCTCAGCTTTAACCTCTTCTTCCTTCTTTTCAATAACTTCCTCTTTTTTATCTTCCTTCTTTTTCTTAGTCTTAGTTCCGTTATCTTTAGTCTTCTGCTTCTCTACTTCCTTGTTCGGTTTTAACTTAGGTTCCGACGGAGCTTTCTGGGTCTGTAGTTTGGTTTCCACTATACTTTGTTCTTTCACCGGTTTCTCTAATTTTGTCTATATAAAAAAATAAGCAAACATTAGTTTTATCCCATTATTACTATGTAAATTTATATTTTTGAAATAGAACAAATACTTCAACATAATTTAACGTATTAAAGATTAAAAAAATACATATTACCAACTAACCTCAACCTCATTACTTTCCTTCTGCGTTTCAACGGCAGGCGCCATTTTGTCAGGCATAAGCTTTTGAAGCTTTTCTAATTCCGGAGTAGCGTTTACAGTTGGAAAACTCTCTTTTGTCGAAGTAGACGTAAAGGTAGTGGTAGTCGAAGTGTCATTTAGAAATGTAGATGTAGGGATATTTTGGGATGCTCTTAGTTGAGCAAGAATTTGATCTTCCGTTTTCATCTCCTTGGCTATCTCTTCCGGGAGTAACGAATTAGACGTTATCGCAGATGCTGGCTGTAAATGATTTTAATGACTACACTAATTTAATATATTCAAATAAATTGACCTTTTCAAAATCAGGCAAAAAAAGAAGAAACAAGAAAAGCAGAAAAAAATGTCATCGTTGTTGGTATTGCAAATATTAAAAAAGCAAATTTTTTTACCCTGGATAATCTTCCTCTTAGTGAAGTTAGGTATTTTAAATGATACTTAATCAAATATGATTTAATTTTATTATCATTAGACTTACACGTAGAATTAAATGTGTTTGTTTTTGCAACAATGTCCAGGGATAGTTAACAAAATTTTAATATATATCTTTCTGGGTTCTAGAGTTGATATAACTAAAATTGTAAATAAATATTGGGTGAAGTTAATAACTCATAAAAGTGTTAGTTGTTTTTAGATAATTTTTACTCTTTATTTCATCAGACAGTTTCGTCCTGACGTTTCAACGACAATTCCATGTAAAAAAAATAGTAAGCAAATCTATACATATAATAAAATTGTAACTAAGCCGAGTCTGTAAACTAAATATTTTATGAAAAATATTGAAATAGACATTATTATCGATGCAGAGACCGAATCTACAGTTTTTAGAATTTTTGTTTGTCTGTCTGTTTCTGCATCACGGAAAAATCACTAGAGGGATTTTGATGAAATTGGGTATGATGATAGCTGGTTATTCGGTTCAACATATTATAAGATACTTTTACTGCGGGAAAATGTCTCATCTCTGAGAAATCTATAATAAACGTTAAAATGTAAGTGGGGATTAATAAAATAATAAAATTATTGGAGATTCGAAGTAACATCGCACCTATCTGCTCCTATCGGATCACAAATATTTATGTCCACAGTAAATGACTTTTAAAACTTACCTATAAGGGTCAGATAAGAATTGAGTATTAATTCCAATTTAATATTTGACTCACGTGGTACGTAAAAAGGTATTCTAATGTAAAGTATAAGTATCTTACTAAAATTAATTAGTTATTTGTGATAATCTATCTTGAAAGGCAAAATGTGCAGTTGCACTAAATAAAAATTAAGAAAGTAAGGGATATTTTCCTATTTTAAACTATAATATCGATGAGATATTGCACGACAGCAGGAATATACTGTGTAATACATATATTACTTTATAACAGTGTTAAGCACACAGAAAATACAAATAGATATAAGCTTATTACGCCCAGATTTCATCTCTAAAAGTAAATGCACACAAACTACTTCATACGAAATAATTTGGATTTACGAATGGCCGCTCCACGGCAGATGCTAGTGTTGAGCTAGTGAAAAATATTTTTGAGGCTTGGGAAAGGTCACAAGATGCACTTGGAATATTCTGTGACTTATCCAAGGCCTTTGTGTACATCATGAGACGCTGATCAGGAAACTGTATCACTATGATGATGATATTAGAAATAAGGCACTCGATCTTCTGAATTCGTATTTAGAAAATAGAATACAGTGGGTTGATGTACATGGTAAGAGATCTCCTGGAGCTCCATTAGATATAGGGGTTCCACAAGGATATATTCTGGGCCTCTTTCTTTTTCTAATTTATATTAATGATTTGCCATTTTTTGTGCTCGTCAAACATAAGATAGTATTATTCGCTGATGACACTTTACTTATTTTTAAAGTGAAGGGCAATTCGCTAATGTACGACGATATAAACGATGCTCTCTCAAAGGTTGTCTATTGGTTTGATTCAAATAATTTAATATTAAATAATAAAAAGACAGAATTAATAAAATTCTTAACACCTAATGTTAAACTTGTTAAGGGAAGTGTTAAAACCTGTAGAGTCCACTAAATTCCTAAGTGTTATCATAGATTCGAAATTGCAGTGGGGCCCCCACATCAAGGGGCTACCGAGTAGACTCAGCTCTGCAGCGTTCGCGGTAAAAAAATAAGACTTCTTACTGATGTAGATAGAGCTCGCATAGTATATTTTAGTTATTTTCATAGTACGAGTATTATGTCCTATGGTATCTTACTATGGGGAAATGCAGCTGCTATTAATACGATTTTTATCCTGCAGAAAGCAGCTATTCGTGCAATATATAGTTTACGTCCTATAGTGTCATTAAGAGATAAGTTTAAAGAAATAAAAATATCGACTGTTGCTTCTCAGTACGTGTATGAAAATGTTATGTAGGTATGTACGTAAAAATATACACGAATTTCCCAAGAAGTGTGACATGCATAACATTAATACTAGGAGCAAACACAAACTTGTAATGCCTGTGACTCGTCTACACAGATTCAGTAGGTTATTATTTTTATGTATACGCTTGTATAACAGGATCACAGAAAATGTTCAAAGGGCTTCTATCGCCAAATTCAAAAAAAATGTTAAAGAACATTTGCGTGCTAAAGGCTATTATACAATAAATGATTTTACAGAAGATGGCACACCTTGGGAATGAAATGATCGCCTCCAGGCTACTTCAACTTGATAGAAATATTGTAAATTATAATTTTACTTAAAAAAAGGTAACGAATTAATATTAGTCCCGCTGAGTTTCTTTCGCCAGTTCTTCTCAGGTCTGAGGCTTCTTCTTTCCCAACTGGTAGTAGACTCATGACGTTCAGTAAACAATTGCAATAATTTACTGCTGAGTAAAATATTTTGAACTTGAAGTCAAATTTAACTTGCAAGATTTGATTACAAACAGAAATACAGACAGACAGATAGACACTGGGACAAGCGAAACTAAATGAAAGTTTGTAATGAAATCGCCATTTTGCGACGACCGCCATATTGGATTTACAATGACGTCATTTTACTCAGCGTATTCCGCTTATCAAGCCCTTTCATTTGATACCTATACCTATCATAGGGGTTAATGTAGAAATTATAAATCGCCAATGCGGCGGTCGCCATATTGGATTTACAATGACGTCACGTAGCTTATTGTATTTCGCTCATCAAGCCCTTTCATTTGATGCACATATCATAAGGGTCACTAAGGAAGTGATAAATCTCCATTTTGTAACTTCCGCCAATTGGATTAAAAATGGCAGCATTTAGGTAATCGTGCATTGTATCGGGAATCAAACTAGTGTGCCAAATTTCAGCTCAATCGGACACTGGGAAGTAGGTCTACTTGCAGGATTCCATTACACAGGCCTGGACAGGTGAAACTAAATAAACCCTTGTAATAAAGAATAAAAAATTTAACTTTATATCAGGCTCATTATAAGTTTATTACAATTATAAGGGTACTTTTTTCAATAATCGTCATATAGGTTGTATTTCAAAAATCTACAATTAATAATAAAATATAATATTTTTATAACAAGAAAGATTTTCACTTTAATGTTTTTATACACAATTTTCGTTTAAATTAATTAGCGCGTAAGCCTCAATACGTGGCGCTAGCTCACACAATTATTATTTGCTTAGTAACCTCTTTTTTTTCATTATAGAATATTATAATCTAATATAAATATCTGTGTCACGGTATTTATGGTCGCACTGCCCCGAAACGGCTCGACCGATTTTAATGATTTTTTTAATATATTTGATAGGTATGAGAAAAGGTCGTAAAGTATTTTTCACCCTCCTAACCCCACCCCCCATTTTTTAAGTAACTAGGGCCGCACTCGAGCGGAGCGAGGTTGAGTCACTAATAATATATAAGGTAAGATTTCCTACAACATTACTATATAATAATAGCCCTACTAATCCTTTCACCCTTGTTGCCATGACAATCGTTTAAAAATCTAACTCAAGTTTATATTTTCTAGAACTTTTTCTTAAGTAGTATGTATTCACTCACTGACTGATTAATCAAAAAACCTTAAATCAAGATATATTTTTTTGTTTGAGTGTGAGTTATTCCTTTGTTTCCGAATATATTTATAATCACAAACATAATTAATCTGTGATAACTATATCGCACTTACACCTAATAATATTATTGAAAGCGTAAACTATAAACAACTTTTAAGCGTGAAAGTAGCTCATTTTTTATCAAATCATCGATAGATCCATTAAAAAACTTAGGAAAAATATTGAAAACATGGCGAGTTATTTACATTTACAACGTAGAACATGAACTTGAAGCTTCCAAGGTTAATATTATCAATCTTCCGCTGCTCTAAGTAAATTAGTAGTGAAGTTCATGAGTGTCCAGCTTAACCGTATTATCAGCTGAAGAAATTTTCACAAGCGTTTTATGGGAATATTTCTAGAGCTATACCCGCAATAATCGATAGCTGTTTACTACACGTGTCATTTTAGATAATCCATACTAATATTATAAATATAAAAGTGTGTTTGTTTGTTGTTCTTTCACGTCGAAACAGAGTGTCGGATTGGCATGATTTTTCGTGTGGAGATAGTTGAAGCGGTGGAGAGTGACGAAAAAACTCGTTATAATACAACCGAAAAAAAAATTATGATCAGAATTACTTGTAACTTGGTATTAATGCTCTTTAATAAAATAAATGCCTGTTTAACATTTTTCGAAATTCATCTCATAAGAGAGTAAAATAATGAATGAAAGTTTATATGAAACCTACCTTTTTAGTTTTTTGTAGTTTTAGCGCGAGCGAAGCCGCGGGTTCTGCTAGTTATTAAATAAGTTATTCAATATAAAAGTATCGAAATATACACGAAAGGACTCATAGAAATATGATATTACAGAAAATAATCATGTTTAGTTGTATCGTTTCTCAAAATCAGGATAAATAATATTTAGTAAGTAATCGGAAAAATCTACAAAGATTTGTTTGTTATTATAAAGTTGAAGAGTAAAGAAGAAAGACTAGTCGTCGTTTCAGTTCTTATTGTCCAAACGAACTATTTACTGAAAGTGTTTAATACAGAATTATTAACTTTTAAAGGTCAATTCTAGTGATAGAAATGACACATTTTACTTTAAAAAAGCTGTAATTATGTATTTTACTAAATTCCTATAAAGTTTTGATTTTAAAATAGAGGAAAACAAACTCTACTGTAAAGTATACAAATAGTAGTTGTAAAATTCTGGCGACTA